GGGGAAAAATTCTTTCCATAAGATTGATGGCTGACTTGCAATATCAACTATGCCTAAGACAACAATATGCAATGTATTAATTATTGAAACTGCTAGTAATCAGTTTTGAGACTGTCTCATTGCTAATTATTTCTCAATAAAATTATTTTAAAAAAATAATAAAAACAATGAAAGCCTTAAAATCCTAAAAGGGGAAAATACCTACTTAAATGTCTCTAACTAGCGAAAATATCCTTCAGAAATGAAGGCAAAATGAAGTGTTTCTCAAACAAAAGCTGAAAGAATCTCCTGCCAACAGACCTGCACAACGAGAAATAGGAAAAGACCTTTAAGCTTTAAAATATGACCATATCCTGAACCAAAAAACAAACACAAATCTTTTTTTTTTTTTTTTTTTTTTTTTTTTGGTGGAACCAGGGATTGAACTCAGACCCTTGGCGTTTGCCAGGTAAGTGCTTATTCTACTGAGCCATCTCCCTGGCCCAAACCACAAATCTTAAAAGAACTGAAATCATGTAATGTATCTTTGCTAGCCGTAATGGAATTAAACTAGGTGTCAAAAACAAAAGATGTCTAGGAAACTCCCAAGATTTGGAATTTAAAAACCCACTGCTAAATAATTCACTTAGAAAGCAAGAAGTTATGGGAGAAATTAGCAAATAGAACGCATTGAAAGATTATAAAAATACAATATGTTAAAATGTGTAGGGTACATCTAAAGCAGTGCTTAGAAAGAAACATTAAGATGTTTAAAGAAATAAGAGCTGTATTTTCCATATTTGATGGAGAGAAATACATAAATTACATAAAAATAAATGTCCATCCAAATACGTAATAGTTAAGATTGTAAAATATCAGAGAACAAGCAAAGTCCTAAAAGAAGAGAGAAGTGAGTGCAGGCAGACAGCACTTTCCAAAACACATGAGTTGGGTGACTGACTTCCTAAAGATAAAGTACAAGGAAAAGGAAATTGTCCGTGTGGTGGTGTCTTAATATTAAACCAGCAAATATATTGTTTGGAAAGAAAAAAATATAATTTTCAGAGAGAGAGAGACAGAGACAGAGAGAGAGAAAGAGAGAGCGAGAGAGCGAGAGAGACAGACAGACAGACAGACAGACAGACAGAGACTGCGATTAGCACATTTTCACTACAGGAGTTCTCCAGACCAAGGACAAGGGATTCCAGATGGAAAGACAGACGCACAAAGGAATAAGCAGGATGGAAAACAGTGAATATGTGAGTTGGGTGAAACCAACACTGACATATTAGGAAGTAAATACTGTCTTACTTTAACTTGTAAAGTCTAAAATTACAATTCATGAAATGCAAACATCCATTTGGGGACAACTGATTTATGATAGCAATAGCTCTAAGACACCGGAGAAAGTGTGGACACTGCAATGAAAAGTGCCAAACAAGTGGGTCCCCACTGTACATAATCCAGATTCCTTCACTACTCTATACCATATATCAAAATTAAAAGTGTAAACACCTTAGTTACTACAACAGATAAAATGCACTAGCACGGTTTCAACACACAAGGTTGTCATACAAAAATCAACTACATTTCTATACACTAGCAATGAACAACCAGAAACTAAAGATTTAAAAACAGCATCATAAACAATAGCATTAAAAACATGAATTAGATAAAATTTAGTAAAATGCATGCAGAAGTAGCGTGCCATAAACTAAAAGACATAATTGAGAGAAATTAAAGAGCCATAATTAAAAGGATGTCTTGGAAAAAATATTTCTAAGATTTCAATTCCTCCCCAGTCCACTGATCAACAAAATCTAGTCAAAGTCTCAGCAGGATTTTTCATAGGCATCAGCAATTCGACTCTAAAATACATATGAAGGGCTGGCCAAAGCTCAGCGGATTAAAGTGCCTGCAAGCAGGCCCAGGGTCCAGGAGTTCCATCCCCAGGCCTGCCTGCCAGCCCCGCCCCCAGGGTGTGCCGAGATGGCGATTGAGACTGGGCGTGGTGGCGCGCACCTGTAATCCCAGCTCTTGGGAGGCTGTAAAAAGGCGGATCACTATGAGTCTTATCTAGTAGTGAGACCCTGAACACCCTGTAGATCCTTCCCTAAAATAAAGATTAAAAAATAAAAATAAAAATAAAATACATATGAAAAGGTAAAAGAACCAAAATAAAAAATCACTTTTGAGAAACAAGAGCAAAGTAGGACTCAAACTACTTGAACTCAAAACTCACCACAAATATATGTATATATGTAAGTATATATTTTCTAGACAAATATGTATTGTAAACAAATATTCTAATTACATATAAGTAGCAGATAATCTTGCAACTCAATATGAATACAACTAAATAATGAAATAAAATACAAACAAAAGATATGAACAGAAACTTCATGAAATGTACTAAACTTATTCACCAAAGACGTACTAAAAAATAAACATATGGAACCGCGGAGGCAGGGACCAAGACTGAGAGGTTGCTGGGTGGGCACTATGGCCGGGATCACCACCATCGAGGCGGTGAAGCACAAGATCCAGGTTCTTCAGCAGCAGGCCGATGATGCAGAGGAGAGGGCCGAACACCTCCAGCGGGAAGTGGAGGGAGAAAGGCGGGCTCGGGAACAGGCTGAAGCAGAGGTAGCCTCCTTGAACCGTAGGATCCAGCTGGTTGAAGAGGAGCTGGA